GATCTAGCCCTGCAGCCTCTGGAGTGGCCCGGTAAGGGGTCATAGCATCCAGAACAATTTCCCAGTAAGTCAAAGTCTCACTTACTGTCAGAGGTTTTATTTGCAAATTGGGTGTAGTCATGTGCATCAAAGCGGTTTCCATTTCCCCAATGGGCCTATTGTTAAGGATATGGAGAGCATCTGTGAGATGAGTTTTCCATTGGCATAGGTTCCCATCTCCTAACTTCCTCAACTGCTCTTTCAACAATCCGTTCATTCGTTCAATCAGTCCTGCAGCTTGTGGATAGTGCGGTATATGAAAAAAACACTGAATATTTTGCTGCTCAGCATACTGTTGGACAAATTTCTTTCAAAAATGAGACCCATTTTCAGTTTGAATCTGCAATGGAATTCCATAGTACAAAATTATTATGTCTATAGTACACATAGTACTATGATGACTAGCTTTCTTACAAAGATGGGCAATCAAATATCCAGAATATGTATCTACAGCAGTGCAGACATATTTACACCCTTGGTCCTGGGGTAAAGGCCCAATATAATCCATTTTCCAAATTTGTCCTGGCAATTTTCCTCTCCCCAGTTGTCCTTTCACAATATTAGGCACCGGGCATTTGTGAAAATGTTGGCACACTGGGTACTGGGCGATTATAGTTTTGATCATATCAAATGACATTGTTATGCCATGCTCTTGGGCCCACCTGTAAGTGGCTTTCTCTCCAAGGTGCCCACACTTTTGGTGAGCCCATTTTTCCAAGCCTTCATGATCCTCCTTCTGAGGGAATTCTAATCCAGCTTGGGAAATCTTTGCCCAGTTGTCTACAACAGAGCTATAAAGTCATTCTAAAGTGTTTGTATTACTATGAGCATCAACATGAAACATAGTCACCTTAGTCCTCTGTACTATTTCCCAAATATCTTTCCACAATTCCTTTCCCCAGACTTCTTTGGAGTATATTTTCCAGTCTTTGGCTACTCATGTAGGCAGCCAAGTAGCTAACCCACTAGCTACTGACCAGGAATCCATATATAAATGATATTCTCCTAGATATTCTTGTTTCAAGACCATATAAGCTGCATATAATTCAGCATATTGGCTGCTTTTCCCTTCTCTCATAATTTCTAAAAATTTTTCTAGATGGGGATAATAAGCTACTGCTTTCCAAAACCTCTCCCCTCCTGTATACTTAGCTGATCCATTAGGGAACCAAGCATGTTCCTTTTCAGAGGGTGTTAATTGATCTAAAGCTTTTCCCCATCGTACTGGGGATTCCTGTTCAACTGTGAAATCAGGGTTCATTTCTCGATCACCTGTGGGGGCAGTAGGTACTCGCTCGTGGAGGGTAGCTACTCTGCCAACCCCTACCTTGGCCCTATCCTGAATATACCATTTCCACTTTATGATATTCAATTCTTGAGCATGCCCAATTCGATGGGTTTTAGGAGAGCTTTTAACCCATTACATGATAGGAATTTCAGGACAAAGTGACACTTCATGTCCTATTGTAAGCTCTTCTGTTTCTACCAACACTCAATAACATCCTAACAGTTGTTTCTCAAAAGGCATATAATTGTTTCCTGCCTCTGGCAGATTTCATCCCCAAAAACCTAAGGGAACCTTTTTCTTTCCCTGTTTTTGCCATAGGCTCCAATTGGCATGTAATCCATTTACTGACACATTTAACTCCACTTCTCCTTCCTGCACTGGCCACAAATTTAGGGCCTTTTGAATAGCTTCCTTTGCTGACTCAAAAGCAGCTTGCTGTTCATTCCCCCATTCAAACTCGTATTTTTTCCTTGTTACTTTATACAAAAGAGTCAGAATATGTCCTAAATGAGGAATATGCTGCAGGCAAAAACCAAACAATCCAATAAATCTCTGTGCCTCATTTTTATTTTGTGGTACTGCATAATCCAAAATTTTCTGTCGAGCTTTGGGTAATATTTCCTGATGCCCACAATGCCATTGAATTCCTAAAAAATTTACCGTTTGGGATGGTTCTTGAATCTTGTTAGGATTAATTTCCCAACCTTTCTGTCTCATATGATCCACCACCTGTTCAAGTATTTGTTGCACTTCCTTCTCATCGTTTCCCTGAATTAGGATATCATCAATATAATGCACTATTTGCATATGAGGAGGCAGTTTTATCTTATCCAGATGCTCAGCCACTGTCTGATGGCAAACGGTTGGACTATGCAGCTATCCCTGAGGCAATCTGGTAAAGGTATACTGTCGTCCCTGCCAGGTGAAGGCAAATTGGTCCCAATGCTCCTCTGTAATTGGGATAGTGAAAAAGGAGTTAGCTAAATCTATTACAGCATACCAAGTCCCTGAATGCTTTTGAACCTTTTCTATTAAAGTAATAGTATTGGGTATAGCTGCTGTAAGCTGTGGGGTGTGTTTATTTAATTCCCTAAAATCTACTGTCATTCTCCATGACCCATCACTTTTCTTGACGGGCCATACCCGATTGTTCCAAGCTGTGGTAACTGGTTTCAGTACTCCTGCATCTGATAAATCTTTAATTGTCTGTGATATCTCCTCATGCCTTCCTGGAATTCTATATTGTTTCATAGTCACTAATTTAGTAGCAGCAGGAATCTGTACAGGAGGCATTTTTACTTTTCCTACTAAAATTGTTCTAATACTGATATGATTTTTCACCCCTAACTGGTACAAACCATCTGGGAGATTCAAAGTTAGTCCCTTCAAAATGTCTATTCCTGTTATATATTCAGGAATGGGGAAAATCATGACTGAATACAGTTGTTTTGGGAGGTTTCCTATTTTCATTTCTATTTGACTTTGTATAGCTTCAATTTGTTTCCCTCCCAGACCTGTAATAATTACAGGTTGTCCTTTAAATTTCTTTGGATTTCCATATATCAAGGAGGCCTCTCCTCCTGTGTCAATGAAGGCTTTTACTGTTTGTGAGGACTGTTTTTTCCAAAATATTTGGACCTCCACATGGGGCTGTCAGTCCTTCTGTGCCCATTGCACTGGAGCTTGGCTGTAATTTCATTCCTGTTTACTATGCTGGACTATTTCCCTAGTCTCCTTCCATGGGTATAAATCAGAATATGGCTCCCAATCCTCCCTTTCCCCTGAAACAACTGTTCTGCCTGTGGAGGGCCTACCGTGTGCAGATGGGAAGTCCCGCTGAGGCTCAGGAAGTGATGCTGTAGGCTGAGTTACCCCTGAATTCTTAGTTTCAGAACTCTACACTCCCTTGCTAGGCTTATTCAGCCCTCTTTGTTCGTATATTCGCCACAGCTCGTTGGTTGGAACACCATCAGTCTTTTCACGAGATATGCCATCCTTCAATAAAGCTGTAAACATTTCCTTGCGAGAAACTCTGTTCTCATTTCCTTTAGGGCTGTCCCGAGTATCTCGGTTTCCTACATTTTCTTGGGGGCCCCATTCTCCAAGATCACCTAGCTGCTGTATTTTTTCAAGTATCTCATCAATGGGATTTTCTGTCTCATTAATTAAGAGAGTCATTATTACATTTTTATATGCTGGTGGGGCAGTTTTAATCAATCGATTCCTATGAGTGACAGACAAGGCATCTTGCATCACTGTGTCAGGGTCTCCTATAAAGATTGCCAATTTCATCCCTTCCTCCTTCATCCACTGTATACGATCTTGAAAAGTATACCAGGGATGTTCCACACCTGACCAATCATTCTCTGTGGGGTATTTATTATTACATCCCCAGGCAGCCAAGGTTAGAAAATTTGTATCCTGAGGATTATTTCGGAATGCATCTTGCACAAAGGAATCAGAACTCAAAAATAAAAACTTCCTAGAGTCCTCTGGATCTAGGGTTACCCCTGCTGCTCCCTGATCATGCAAACGCACCATCCAAGAGAGTAGAGATTCCCCCAGTCTCTGCTTAAATCTTTCAATTATATCATTTATTTCATGCTGAGTATAATCCTCTATCACATCTTTCCTTATTTGTTGCCCATTAGTATCCAATTCTGTTTTCCGTCTCCACACTGGTTTTACATCCACAAGTTCATCTGAGGAATCAGCCTCATCAGAACCCGTAGAATCCCAAATATCTCCATCCCATCTGTCAGGACCCCACTGTACCCCTGCTTCTGCAATCACAGAATGCACTTTCCCATGATTTACTTGTCCCCTTCTTTTCTTATACTGTACAACCCTTACCGCAGCTCTTTCAGCTACAGTCTGATAAGTATCCAACTTATCAGCAAGCAACTTATTTTGACACTGTAACATTACAATTTGATTCTGCAAATCACACATCTGTTGCTCCATGTGGGAGCACTTTAACAACAGTTCTTCTTTCTGTTGGTGCTGTTTCCAAAATGCTGTTAACAAAACCCATCCCTGTCTTCCTGAACACACAATTTTTTTTTCCTTTTTTGATAGATAATTTTTGGATGCATTTTAATACATCCAATGGTTCAGCTTCTTTTACTCAACTTTCCCACTGTTCACATGGTCCTCCGACCTTAACCCACTCGAGAGCCAGTGAGCTATAGGGAAGGTATTCCCATCCAGGAATTTCGGATGGAGCTGATTCATTACATTTAGGTTTAAAAAATGACATTTTGTTCTGATCCTGTCTGTGACACTAAGTTTGTTTTGCCAATTGACGGGGCTAACACAAAGGACACAGACACCAAGCTAAAGAAATAGGCTTATTTTACTTTAGTTTAAAGCAGCAGAAAGAATAAGCAAGGTAATGCACCTAGTCATTACTACATAAAGCTAGCTATAGTGATTAAGAAAGATACATCACCAATCGCCCTCCGGATCTGGCCAGGATCCGGGCACAACTGAGGAGTTTCTGTTTTACTTTACATTTGGGATTTATAGTTGCTTCCTGTTGTTTACTTATAGTTTTCAGGGATTGTTCCAAGGGTTGCATTTCATGTTGATAAGATGCTGGTTGCTGGTCGGGGGATTCATTCAGAAGTCAACTTTGGTTGGAGGTTTATTGTTTGGGCCTTTTTTGTTTCAGACATGATGTGAGAAAAGAGATGCCCCTGAGCTCCCTTCTGTGGGTGAGTGTTTTTTCAGTGCCTAGCCCTGTATGTTTAAAGACAGTGGTTTCTTACTAAATTTGTCTGAAATAGGATTAAATCCTCTAGGAAGTACAGTTCTGCTTAGCAAGGAATCTTTCCTTTGACCTGGGCCATAAGTATTTTTGAAAAATCCAAAAAAATCATTGAATAGGTCAGTGTAAGGGGTGGTGGAGTAGGGTATGTCTTACTTTCATTGACTCTGTAGTTATTTAAAATACAAGGGCTTTGGGAAAAAGTAAAAAAAAAAAAAAAAAGATGATATGCCAGGTAAAAGTGACTGACAGGCTTCTAAGATAGATTGTATTGTAGCTAACATGTATCGAGACAGATACTGATAGAAAAGTGCAGCAGGCTGTGTTGGAAAGTAGTAGCCCAGCTAAATTTGCTGTGTCTCACATATACAAATAAGCTGGCTGGAGATCCAGATAGTGAGTCTATCCCTTTTATTTTGCAAGCAAGAGGTCACAGTCTTTATTTATGGTTCAAAAGAGAGAGCATAGGTAATTACTAGTCTGCAAACTATGTTAGTAAACAGGCTAATGCACTGAAAATTATTCTTGGTGGTTTTATGATATGAGGAAGATGCTTTAGGTACATCAAGGCAAGATACGAAAGACCAGAGTTCACTAACAAGAATAAGTAATCTCATTTGGCCTGCACCAAGAATGTATATTGCAAGATGTTTTGGTTTGCCTTTTTTTTTAATTATTATTATTTTTATTTAATAGGCCATTTGGGAGTGGTCTAGGAATCAAAAACATGTATTAAAAAACAAAAGGACATCTATAGTTTGTCTGAATCAGAAATAATACTTCCTTTAGATGTTAACCAACAGTATACCCAATGAAAATCAAATATTAAAACCAGTTAATTACATTCACAAGTAGTCTACATACATTAATCTGATCTATTTTTTTCTATGAAGAATTAAAGAGCTGTTTTCATTCAAGTATGAAATTGCTATTCCAAGCTCTATGTGGATCTCAAGATTTCATAGTTTTCCATTCTTTTGAGGTTTTTCAGACTCAAAAACTAATGCAGGTTAGCACTGATGTTGTGTAGTGCAGACATTCCTTGTGTAAAAAGGAGGATTAATCGGGGGAGCAGCAGTAAGTGGTGTGTCAGGATTCATCTCCCCCATCTCCCTACCTTAATCACTAGAGACTTTGTCTTGTTGGGTCTACTTCTGCCTTCAAAATGACTGACACTCCAGAGGAGAGGTGGAAGGTCCTTTCCCCTGAAGGCATCAATCCCCAGCTCTGTAACAGATGGGGATCAAACCTCCTGTTTGAGTGGAGAAAGGTGTGGAATCAGTCTCCACTCTCTTGGGTATGTTTTCCCGCAGGATCTGTGAAAAAGGGAGGTGGTAAAGTCACCAAAGCAGTTGTCACTAAATGCAGTGCAGTCTGAGTGAGCTAAGCACAGTCTCAGCGTTGGTAGAAAAATTAAGCTTCTCTTTGGACTTGAGCTTTCTGTATGCCAAATTGTTTTACGCAGATGCAAGTTCCTAGGCAGTCCCTATAGGAAAGGCAGAGAGAACCTCTGCTGGTCAGAGAGACTTCTGTCTGAAACTGAGAGGCTGAAAATGTCCCAGATAGGTGTCTGAGTGTATTAGAAATTAGTTTTGCAGAATTCAGACAAATAGTATTGAAAATACATTGAGAGTATTTCAAGTATTGAAATGACATGATTACTGACTGCTTTGCTCTTTGAAAATGACATAAATATGCTTTTGCAGAAGTCAAACATTCACAAGAGCAACCAGTCCATAACTTTATTAAAGAGAAGCTTGGTACTATTAGAAGTAATAACTCTTGATCTTTTTGCTATATTCCTGTGTACATGTATAGGTAGATAGATGCACAAACCAAGGCTCTATCTCACGGACATCTCTCTTCAGCCTCACAGCCTTCTACTGCTCCCTGAAAGCCTGGTAGCTGGAGAGGAGCAAAGATCTCTCTCCTAGACCCTCTCCACTGCTCTTAGAAAGCAGCTACATTTCACCACTGTTTGCAAGATGAACAAAATCTTAGCAACATTCTCTTCAAGTGAGGCATCACAGTAGGTGCCTAAATCCACCTAAGCCCCTCAGCTGACTGTTCAGATACAGCTCTTTATGGTCACGCCAGAGGCCACTTGTTGGAGCCAAATAAATATTCCAGACATAAAATTCTGTTGCTCCTTGTATAAAAGGGATAAGAGTGATCCCATCTAAAGCTGCATGTCTACATTCACTCTTTTCATCTGTGCTTTTTATGGGTCTCTTATTTTTTAAATTGCAGATCTTCCCAACTCTTGTTTTGATCCCTTTAGAGTATTGACACAGAGATTATTGGCACTTTAACAGAATTGTTGTGTGGTGTTTAGAAATTATGCCTTTCCTAATCTCTGGATTTATATTTAAAAATTTAGTTCTTTTCTACAGACTGTAACTGTGGGAAAAATACATCAGAAAATGAAATGCAGCAGAGGATGCTTGGGGGAACTAAGGCACCATATTCTACACTTTGATGAAATGACAGTAAGGGATTTTCTTTAGCTAAAGAGATCCTATAATTAATACTTAATTGAATAAATACTAAGTGAATTCTGAGTGGGATTTTTCAAAGGTGCTCAGTATTGACTTAACTCCACTTTGATTCACACAGATGGAGGACAATCAGTAGCTTCAGTGAGAACAAACCCTGGCCAGCACCACAAAGCCTCCTGCCTGAGGATGATGAGAGGAGGCAAGGAGGGAAGAAGGGAAGGATCCAGTTTTGCGATGCACCTGCTCGGGATACTGCCAGTCCTCAGCATCAGATGTCTGCAAGTCATTTGCCCTTAATTGAGGAAAATTCAGAGTTATGCTCATTTAAGTTTCCTTCATTCCTTTCACCTGCCCTGCTCCTCCTCACCCACCCTGCACCTCTAATACATGGAAACAATCGTGCTGCTGGGATCCCACTGCTCATGTCAGACATATCTCCACATTGTCACGTACAGAGCTTCTCCAAACATTCACAGTAACTGGGAATGGGATGCTGGAAGAAGAAATCTGTGACCCGATGCAGCAAGACTGTGCAGACTTAAAACTGATTAATATTTTACATAAGCTAGCTATGTTCAAACATTACCACTCCTGGGACTAGAGTTACTGCTGCCTCACATATTTCATTCCCTTTGAAGTGCAAGAGTCCCTGCACTGGGAGAACCCATTTCTGTGCTTCCGAATGTTTCCCGTGTTGTTTCTTTGTTTTTATTTGCCTGCCCTTAAGGCCTCGGGCAATGAGGAGCTGGTAATCCACCTCTCTTCCTCTGTACTCTCCAATTTGGAAACAGCCTCAGGGGGAAATACATGCATCATCCTCCTCTATAACTGAAGGCTTCTCTCTTGCATCTTGTTTCAAAGACTGAATAATGTGCTAATTCTGGCTTTTCATCTACAGGCACCATAAACTCCAGAACACTGGGGCTATTTTGTCACCCGGTGTTGGAAACTCACTACTGACTACTTTGTGACTTTTTTTTTTTTTTTTTCCCCTTAAACTGTAATGATACACACAGGCATATGCATATGTGCACACGCACACACACAGACACAGGGAGGGTGAGACTGTGCTTACTGTAGGATAGGAGAAGCTCTGTTTTCCAGCCTTGACCTGGATAATCACAGCTTTGTGGGAAATGTTTTATATTGCAGTATTGCAACAGGATGTAAAAGAGAAACACACCGAGACACACACAAATCTACTTCTATATATTCATAAATATGTTTTTATGCATTTAAGCCTCAATAGAGCCATTGCTGTCAGGCAAAATGACTGCATGAATGACCTTGAACGCCACAAACCAAAAGGTGATAAACACAACACGGCGCCAGGTCAGCAGCACACCCGACTGCAAAGGAGGCAAAGGCCGTCGCTGGCTGCTCCTGACGTTCTGCTGAGTAACCCACGCTTTCCCTGGAGGTGGGGCACAGCGTGAGGCTCCGGCGTGATGAAATCCTTGCGGATTCCTGGGAGAGGGGCTGGGGCTGAGCCTGAGCCTGAGCCTTTAGGTGGAGCTCACGTACCGCCGCTCCCGGGAAGAGCATCACTGCGGGACAAGGCCGGCCAGGCAGAGCAGAGCTTGACCTCCCGATTTTCACCGCTCGGGTTAACAGCCGGGTTCCTCACAAAGCTGAGAAACGGTTTCTTTCGAAAGCTGTTTGCAGATGGCTTTTGTCCTGCGTGCACGCAGCGTTGGCTACGGCCCATAGGGCTGCTGGCGGATCCACCGTGGCTGGGCTTTGTTACTGGGGCAACTAGAGGGGCTGCGTGCACCCGGCCACCGCCGCGGCAGGAGCGTGGAATCAGAGACTCTCGGTGCGTGTCCACGCAGCCAGGGAAGCTCCCTTCAGGTCTACCTCGCGTCCCAGTCCAACGGGACCCCGAGGACCTTCAGCTCCCGAAGGAGGCCCAGGAGCACGCTTTGCTGCGTGGCGGCAGGGGGCCCGGTGCTGCTGGGCTGTGGGATGGGGAGAGCCGTGCGCAAGGCTGCCTTAATTCATCTTAATTAATTGTGCAGTGGCTGGGAGGAGGGCCACTGCACAAGCGGAGCGCGGTGGGAAGCACGAAGGAGCAGGCCTCTGTGCGAGTCTTGGGCTCAGCAAGGGCAATCTGGCAGGCTCGCATCAGCTGCAGAGCGTGTGGTTCCCAGATCTTCCCGTCCCTTCTGTGAGATCTGGCAGGCTGGAGAGTAGGCAGAAATAAGTGGAAGAAAGCTGTACTCTAGCAGCAAACCCCAAATCAGTGGACTGCATTTAAAACACATGTGAGGGCTTACAATTTTGTCTAACAAAGCCAGGCTTGTAAAAGCTGTGTTTATTTCACACTGTAAAAGTGATACCTGGCATCACAAGCAGGGCCTGTGTCAGCTCAGGAGGATGAAGAATGTGAGTGTCCTCGATAGCACCAGAGATAGAAAGCAGAAGGGGACAGGAGTGGTCCTTAAACCTGCAAAACAGGAAAAGGAAAAATTACGGATTTCTACATTTCTTATTATACATGAAGCTGCCAGCAATATCACACCATACTCACAGAAGAGCCTGACATAACCCCAAATCTTGCCCACTATGTTGTTACACTCCCAAGACTCCTGGGATGAACAGATGTTTGGGACAGCAAACTTACAAAAACAACTTTACACTGAGGGTGTCCTGCTGCCAGCTGCGGGATGGTGAGGATCTTGCATGGACATTAAAGAGGATCAGCAGTTGCCAAATGCCCTGTTGAAGCCCTGGCCATGAATGGAAAGGTTAGATTTATACCAACCGCCCCTAGCTTGCTGCCCCAGGACCAAACTAAAACGTTTGGTGGTTAGAGCAAGCCTGGGCTGTGGGGTTGGTGTGCAGATAGCCTCTCCTGACTCTGCTGCTAGGGTGATGATGTGTGTTAACAACAGAGTTGCTCTAACGCTCTTGTTATTTCATGACATTTTGGGAAATACCATGACTGTGAGCTCTTGCTCCTTCTTGCACTTTAGATAAGTTGACGTGAAGTTTGGTCAGGGACAAACAAGGCTGGTATTGCCAGTTTACAACAACTTCAGCCAGGAGAATCTGTCTTATAGCATCCGAGTTTATGCAACTGGGGCAACTACAGAGGAGGCAAAGTTCAGATATTCAGTTAGCAGTCAAGGCCTTTGAAGAGCACATTTTGTGATCCAGCTTCAGCTTTGTACTTAAATGATATATAAATCTTTACAGATGAGAATCAATGACATGTAGAAGAGGAAATGTAAAGTGATGCCTCCAAGGAAGAGCTGTGTGCAACCATGCTATAGACAAAGGAGTGTCCAGAAGGGCAAGAGACATTTTGAAAAAAACAAAACAAAACAAAACAAAGCCTAAATGCAAACCAGATAGGCTTTGTAATTCTGCAGCCTGCTGATCTACTCTTCTTTCTTACTTTAGTGCCTGTTTATTTCAGTTGGATTCTTACAAATTCCTGGTCTTTTTCTCTCTTTGTGCAAGAAAAAAACCTGGTGACTCTGAATATCTGTAAAATATCAAATTGTTTGATGAGCTGTTTTCCAGACAAAACTTCATCAGCTGAAACTACACCTGTACCAAAAATCCTTCCCCATTTTGTGATGTCTCATACCAGTATCCAAACCTCCCTTTCATGGATGTGATAAAAAGTTTTGAAAGGAAATCAAGTTATAAGGGAAACAAATTTTAATGATGTTGCTGGTGTGTGCTACTCATTGTGTTATTACTTTATTTTCCTCCTCAGTTCCCTGTTTTTTTCACATGATAAATCCCAATTACTATAAAGGTAAGCAACATTAGTCATTTAAGATGAATTCATAGGTCAGAGTTAGGAAGACTCAATGTCCCTTTCACATGACAGATCACTACCCACTACTGTAAGTAGTTACTGAGATCAGCAATAATAAATTCCAGTGTTGCAGCATTACTCCTATTTGCACTGTATATATTACCCTCCTCCATGGTTTTCTTCTGTACTCTAAAAACACGTACAAAAACATGACTAGAACATACTGAATACAGCACATTACCATGCATGTTATACAGAATTTAGCAGGTGGGATTTGGCTCACAGATCAAGGCACCCAAAATCAGGCTCATGTCTAACTTCTGCCGCAGTTCTCAGAGTCAAGATGCCTGAGTCTAGAGTCAACTTACCTGACTAGACATTAGTGTATACATCTGGGTGAGCTGAGTAGCCTTCTAGACTGAGCTGACTGTCTTGACTAGATGCTTATGGATTATAACAGGTTAGACACCTATTGCATAGGTAGACATATCCTCTCCAGTCTTAATCTACAAGCTGAATCAACCTGCTATTTCTTTCCTCAGAAAAAAAAAAAAAGAGCAATTCTATTACTATAATTTATTACTTTTATTATCATTCTTACTGTAGAAAGTCACAGGTACAGATCAATATACTGTATACACAAAAAAAGGACAGTTTTAACTCAAAGAACCCAGATCCAGGTATTACCACACAGCAGCTGTGGAGATCAAGAAGAGTCACAGGGATGCTTTTAATATAGTCTCTCTAGTGATGTCCTCATAAATAAAATGAGGAAACATGGTCTGAATCGAGCTTCTGAGAGGTGAGCAAGCAACTACTCTCAGAGAGTAAACTAGTAAACAGTGAGAAAATGGGAGATTACATCACTTGGGGCCCTTCATGTTTTCACTCATGACCGAGATAATGGAATAGAGAGGATGCTTACTGTATTTGCATATGGCATTAAGAAGGAGGGACTGCAAATATAAATTAGTATTCAAATCAATCCCAACAAATTGACGTTACCACCCAAAGTAAACATAAGGGAGACCTGAAAGATGCAGTGGAAAGGAAAGAATAATCAGCTGTACAAATACAAACCTTCATCAAGAGGAGATACGGGGGTTATGGTGGGACACAGCAGAGCATAAATCAGTAACATTATGTTGTTATGAGAAAGCTAAATGTGATACTGGGAGGCATCATGAGGTACCTGAAGCAATCCTTCCACTTTATTTGGTGTCAGTGAAGCTTCAGCTGGAATAGTATGATCAGTTTTGAGCTAAAGAAAGATGTTCACTAACTGGAAAAAGTATAGAGGAGAGAAATTTGAATAATCAGAGAGCATGAAAACATAGCCTGCAAGAAAGAATTGAAGGAATTGGTTTGAATAACCTATAGAAGTGAAGGCTGAGGGAAAATCTGCTGAAAATATTAAAATATGCAAAAAGAAGCTGCAGGGATTAAAATCCTAGAATCCATAATGAAGAAACATTCCTACACAGAAGACAAGGAAGGACTGGAAATAATTGCAGTAGGTGTCTGTTAAGACATATCCTTAAGGACATTAAGAACACTTTAGATAAATCATAGAAACATAGAATGGTTTGGACTGGAAGGGACCTTAAAGATCATCCAGTTCCAACCCCCCTGCCATGGGCAGGGACACCTCCCACCAGACCAGGCTGCTCAAAGCCCCGTCCAGCCTGGCCTTGAACCCTTCCAGGGAGGGGGCAGCCACAGCTTCTCTGGGCAGCCTGTGCCAGTGTCTCACCATCCTCACAGTAAAGAAGTTCTTCCTTCTAGATGATCTAAATCTACGCTCTTTCAATTTAAAACCATTACCCATCATTCTATCACTACACTGACCGATAAAGAGTTCCTCCCCATCTTTCCTGTAGCCCCCTTTAAGTACTGGAAGGACACAATAAGGTCTCCCCGGAGCCTTCTCTTCTTCAGGATGAACAGCCCCAACTCTCTCAGCCAGTCCGTATAAGGGAGTTGCTCCAGCTCCCTGATCATCTCCATGGCCTCCTCTGGCCCCGCTCGAGCAGGGCCATGTCCATCTTATGCTGGGAACCTCAGAGCTGGACACAGGACTGCAGGTGGGACCTCACAAGAGTGGAGTAGAGGGACAGAATCCCCTCCCTCAATCCACTGGCCACACTTCTCTTGATGCAGCCCAGGACAAGGTTGGCTTTCTGGGCTGCGAGTGCACACTGCTGGCTCATAGACAGTTTTTCATCCACCGGTATCCCCACGTCCTTCTCCTTAGGGCTGCTCTCCATCCACTCACCGCCCAGCCTGTATCTGTCCTTGGGATTGCCCTGACCCATGTGCAGGACCTTGCACTTGGCCTTGTTAGACTTCATGAGTTTGCATGGGCCCACCTCTCAAGCCTGTCCAGGTCCCTGTGGATGGCATCCCTTCCCTCCAGCGTGTCAACTGCACCACACAGCTTGGTATCATTGTCAAACTTGCTGAGGGTGCACTTGATCCCACTGTCCACGTCACCAACAGAGATGCTAAACATTACCAGTCCTAACACCGACCCTTCAGGAATGCCAGTCATCACTGCTCACCATTTGGACATTGTGTCATTGACCTCAACTCTTTGAGTGTGACTATCCAGCAAATTCCTTATCGTCCGAGTGGTCCATCCATCAAATACATGTCACTCCAATTTATAGACAAGGGTGCTGTGCAGGACAGTGTAAAATGCTTTGCACAAATCCAGGTAGATGACGTCCATTACTCTTCCTCTATCCACCAACAATGTAACCCCTTTGCAGAAGGCCACCAAATTTATCAGGCACTATTTTCCCTTAGTGAAGCCATGTTGGCTGTCACAGATCACCTCCTGATTTTTCACATGCCCTAGCATAGTTTCCAGGAGGACCTGCTCCATGATCTTGCTGGGCACAGAGGTGAGACTGACTGGCCTGTAGTTTCCACGGTCTTCCTTTTTAAAAGCAGGGGTTATGTTTCCCTTTTTCCAGTCAGTGAGAACCTCACCGGACTGCCACGATTTCTCAAAGATGATGGATAGTGGCTTAGCCACTTCATCTGCCAGATCTCTCAGAACCCATTTGTGCATCTCATCAGGTCCCATGGACTTGTGCACCTTCAGGTTCCTTTATGTATAGTCGGTCCTACCTCTGAATGGTGCAGTGAACTACATGATCTCCTTGGGTCTCTTTTCATGCGCCTGTGTGTAACAGTGAGTCATGACCATTTTGTCATAGTATCTTTCTCTTGGGTAAGTTCATGAAGCGTGACCCCTGAGTAGAGGTTTAAAATAATTGTGCCACTAAACTAAGCAGAGGAGGTGAAGGCATGCACCCTCATTGCAAGGGCTGCTGCAGAAAAATTATGTCAAAGTGACTCATGACAGCAGAGCTGAAATGTTTTGCAAAAGTAAATATACCGTGAATTTGTTTCATGTAACAGGGCAGCTTGCAGAGGCCTGACAACATTTGCCTTGTTAAAGTGTAGGCTAAGGTAGCCTATTTGTTCTGACTGTTCTTTGGCAAGAGGAAATCTAGCTTTAGCTTTTAGTTGTGAGCAAGAGCTGCAGTGCCTGCTGCAGATGCCTGAAAAGCTGAGGTAGGTTTAACCCAAGGTCTTAAGCATACCTCTGCATCTGCTTTTACCCTTTTTTTTCCTCACTTTTTCTCTCCAAGAGTGACTTGATTCTGTTTTTCTTGGTTTACATTTTTACTCCTATTCTTGTTTATACTCTGCACTTTCCAAAGACCTTAAAACACTTGTCATGTAGCCAGGAGGCTTAGAAATCTCTGGAGGCTTGAAGTCAGGTCCTTGGCACAGCTGATATCAACAGTAATCCTTCCTTACTATAATGCTCCAGCAATAGACAGATATGCTACTGGTCTAAAGTACAGTGCCAAGACCATAAGAAATAAGATCTCTTGGTTCTGAATAAAGGAACAGAGACTTAGGCTTTACACCCATGAAGGTATATAGGAAAAGGAATGGCCAAAAGGCAGGGAAAAGGGTGTTTTGAATCCTCAGAAAACATCCCAAGATGAAATATTTTGAGAGGAGAAGTTAGTGGTGAGGCATAGGGATATGACTTGTAACTGCAATGCAAGAAAAGAGATGTAAATGCTGGATCCATAGATACTAGGAACATGGAGCTACACTGACTATCAGGGCAGCTGTCTCCAGAGAGCCTTTGCTAACAGCAAAGAGCAAAGGTTGAGTGAAGTGTGAGGGACCTCAGCCTTTCCGTGAGTGAGCTTTGTTGTGTGTATGCCTCTGATAAAGCACTAGGCCTCTGAGATCCCCATTCAGGAGGCTTCTGGGCACCTTCACTGACTTCTTGTAATGCAGCATCCCTTTTTACTAACCCCGTTTTTCACTAGAACTGATCAAAGCAAGTACTTCCACTTTGAAAAAGAATTGATTATGTTTTCCTCCTATTCTCCACCCCTCAGACCCCCAACTGCAGCTGAAGAAGGAGTTATGTTTGTGTATTCCCTGCTTTCCTACCTACTTATCTGTGCTCCTGGAACAGCTGACTTTCAACTGAAGCAACATTAAAATGCCCTCTGCTGGATTCAAAGATGAGCTGGGGGTGAAAGAACCGAAACACCACAAAACCACACCTTCAGTTGCTCCAGGAAGGAACGAGGCCCAATTCCTCATCCTCTGGATTCAGCGAAGTACCTCATCATACAATATAAAGATACGCCACACTGTGGGATCGTTTTTGGAGGACAATGGCCACGTCGGACAAGAGCAAGACTTTGGCTACATCGCAAAAGGGATGCAAAAAGAGGAAGAAGAACTGAGAGCACTGTACAGCTGGTGAATAATGAGAACATCTTGACCTTCGCTGGCCAGAAGCCTTGGAAGTAGCAAACAGGAATGTAGAAAAACAAGATAAGGATGCTGAGCTCTGCCTGAAGAAAACATGCCAAGCTACGGTTGATGGGAAACATCTGGTCATTTCTTAAACAGTGGAAAGTTTTCTACCTTGAGCTAAAAGTGTATAGAACATTGTGTTTGTGCTTGTAAGATTTAATTAACCAATCGGCTTTAGGATAGCAGTAACTAACTTGTAGCCAATGAATTGTCTGGTGTATTATGGACAGCAGGTAATAACCAATCAAATGTTAGTTTTAGGCTTGTGAACAGTGTGTGAAGAATGCATGTAACCAATCAAGCCTTCTGTTTATGTGTGATCAGTTGCTAGGAAGATTTATAAACACACTTGTATTGGCAATAAATGGATTTTGATTCCTGACTCTTACGGAGTTGCCGGAGTTCGTGATTCTCCTCAACACACCATGCTTTTTCAGGTTTTAAGGTTTGTAACGTTTCTTTCCCCTGCACTGACAGACAGCAGCGAGAGCCTGCTGGACACCATCTGCTACCTTTCAACATCTGAGGCAATAAGTGGCTCCATGTTGCCTGGTGTTTAGCACCATCCAGCTGTATTTTACAGGCTGGTTGGAGTGCGAGAGGCAGTGTGGAAACAGGATGACTGTGGAGAGCCCTTCTCTTTTTTGTACCATGTGTAAATCTTTCAGTCACAAA